GGAACCTCCATACTGTTTTCCAGAGTGGCTGCGCCAGCTTGCATTCCTACCAACAGCATAAGAGGGTTCCCCTTTCTCCGCATCCTCTCCAACACCTGTTGTTTCCTGATGTTAATTTTAGCCTTTCTGACCAGTGTGAGATGGTATCTCATTGTGGTTTTGATTTGTATTTCCCTGATGAGAAGTGATGTTGAGCACTTTTTCATGTGTCTGTTGGCCATTTGTATGTCTTCTTTGGAGAAATGTCTGTTCATGTCTTCTGCCCATTTCTTGACTGGATTTTTTGTTATTTTGGGTGTTGGGTTTGATAAGTTTTTCATAGATTTAGATACTGTCCCTTATCTGATATGTCATTTGCAAATATATTCTTCCAGTCTGTAGATTGCCTCTTTGTTCTGTTGACTCTTTCCTTTGCTGTGCAGAAGCTTTTTATCTTGATGAAGTCCCAGTAGTTTATTTTTGCTTTTGTTTTAACGAAGTGATTTGTTCTGCAACTTGGTTTTTCATTGATGGTGAGGACCAGGAGTTGACAAGCTGTGGCCCCCAGACCAAATTCAGGCTGCCACCAAAAAATGTACAGTCTGCAGCCTAAGAATGGCTTTTACTTTTTTGAATGGCTGGTGGGGGATGGAGGAAATTGTGTGGAGTCTGGAAATCATATGAAATTCAAATTTCAGTGTCCATAAATGAAGTTTTCTGGAAGGTGGCCACACTCTCTTGTGTATGTGTTGGTCTATGGCTGCTTCTGTGCTACAATGACAGAATTGAGTGTCAACTACACAGAGCCATGAAGCCTAAAATTTTTACCATCTGGCTCTTTACATAAACAAGCTTGCCAACCCCCTTTATAGAATAAACTTCAGTCCTACTACCATTCAAATTATGCCAAATTCTGAACTTGTGAGTCGAAAAAGAAATGCTTTGTTCTAGTTTAAATAAAAGACAATTTCGGAGTGCCTGGCTGGCTCAGTCCGTGGAGTGTGTGACTCTTGATCTCGGGCTTGTGAGTTCAAGCCCCACATTGGGTGTAGAGATTACTTAAAAAGAAAAAGACAATTTTATTTCTATTCTCCTATTTCCATTTCTATTCCAAAACTCTACAGAAAAAGCAGGCACAATTGTCTAGATAAGACATTTGGTATCAGTAGCATAAATTATATAAAATTTGGAATCTCAAGGAAACTAAACATCTGTCTGTGCTTTTGTTTACATGAGTTCACCTAACAAATGCTTTTCCTTTATCCTAACCGTGGACATAAGCTCAGGCCCAGGAAATATTTGGCTAATAGAAGGAAACCTGGATACGAGCTCCGGACTCTGTCCTGTTATGTCATTAAGGTGAACTCACAGCGGGGCACCTGGGTGACTCAGTCGGTTAAGTGTCTGCCTTCAGCTCCGGTCATGATCCCAGCGTCCTGGGATGGAGCCCTGAGTTGGGCTCCCTACTCAGTGGGGAGCCCGCTTCTCCCTCTCCCTCTGCCACTCTCCCTGTTCATTCTCTCCCCCTCTCTCTCTCAAATAAATAAATTTTAAAAATCTTTAAAAAGGTGAACTCACAGTAAATGTGAGCACTCTGCCATGAAAAGCCTCACTTTTGGCATTACCCTAGACAGTACTAGTTCTTGGGGAGTAGGAATGGCCCTTCCTATCAGGGCTGGCTTCATGAGCACGTGACTTGTGCAGTCAGCCGGGCCCATGCTTGGTTTAAGCTTTGCTGTCACCTCTTGAAATTCTTCAATGATTTTTGAACAAGAAATCCTACATTTGGGGGACGCCTGGGTGGCTCAGTCGGTTAAATGTCTGCCTTCAGCTCAGGTCATGATGCCAGAGTCCCGGGATCGAGTCCCGCATCGGGCTCCTTGCTCCGCGGGGAGCCTGCTTCTCCCTCTCCCACTCCCCCTGCTTATGTTCCCTCTCACTCTCTCTCTGTGGCAAATAAATAAAAAAAGTCTTTAAAAAAAAGAAAAGAGG